CATACGGCAGCATTATCTCCGTCAAATGTCAAGTCTGATGTGCTCCCTAGCTAGCTGGTGGCTCTGCAAGGCCCCAAAGGTAGGTTTCGAAAGCAAACTCTTTCCTCAGTGGGAGGAAAAACTGTGGTAGAATTCATATTACAGTAGCCAAAGAAAAAGCAGCAACTTTGGGGCCAGTTAAGACAACCAAAACTTTATGTAACTGTTCACCTACAAGTGGCTGTTGGGATCAGTGGTGGTGAGACCAACGTAGAGGTTGAGAGTTTCAATTGAGCACCTACTGTTTGCCACATACTGTGCTAGGCTCTCAGGAGACACAAAATCAGCAAGGTGCCTGTTCTCATGGAACTTACTGGAGAGAGGCAACAAAACAAGAAACAAACCAAGTAAATAAATAAAACCAACCAAATAAATAAATTTGAGACTGGGCTAAATGCTTTGAAGGAAAGAAAACATGGGCATGTGAGGGTGACTGGGGAAAGTAGGTTAGATCACGGAGAGCTTCCCTGAGGAAGTGGCCTTTCTGCCAAGACCTGAAAGATGAGCCAATGCCAGCCATGTGAAGATTTAGGGGGAGAGCATTCCAAGCAGAGGGAACAGCAAGTGCAAAGGCTCTGTGAAGGGGGTGAGTTTTGCATGTTCAAGAAAGAGGAACCCCTGTGTGGCTGGAACCGTGTGAGGGAGGGGAGAGGGCGAGATGAGGTTGGGGGTCCATAGGGACAGAGTGGGAAGGGCCTCCTTGCCAGGGTAAGGGGAGAGATCTAAACGCCAAGCTGAGTTTTATCACCCAGTGGTCCAGAGATCTCAGCAAAGTCAATTGACCTTTCAGAGCCTTAGTTTCTTCATCAACGTACCAAGAATAAAAACCCCTCCTTCCCAGGGCTGTATCAGCCATCAGATGAGATGAGAGTGGAGTGCTTAGCACAGACCTGCACACAGTAAGTGTTTAATAATGCAGCTCCCTGGCACTCCTCCTCCCCCATTCCTCCTGCTGGAAAGTCAGCCCATCACAAGAGCCGAGCAGCTGCTGGTGCAGAAATATTGCAAAACTCATCCAGGCATTTCCAAAATATTTTCTTGGCTGAAAACCCACTAGCAGCTAAGAGGCCACATGCTGGAGACGAGCTCATTTCCTTAGATCATTTCCTGATCAAGCCGCTGTCCTAGACTGTGAGCAACCTGAGGACCAAGACCACGGCTGCCGGGCCCCACGCCCTCAGGACCCTGCCCGAGGCCTGGCATATGCAATGTGCCTAGCAGGCGGTGCCGTTGACTGACCTTGGGCAGTCTGTCTAATGGGTAGGGCATGGGCTTTGGAGCCAGGCTGGCTGTGTTCAAATCCCAGCTCTGCCACTTCCTGGCTATGTGATGTTGGGCAAGTCACTTGACCTTCCTGGGCCTCGGTTTTCCTCATCTGTAAAATGGAGCTGTATTTAGGATTACATGAGTGAATAAACGTAAAGCCCTCAGAACATATGTAAGCAGGGGCGGATCATCCAATCGGCAAAGTAAGCATGGTGCTTACCTTGCTTACCAGTTACCAGATCATCTATAGTGAACAATTTCATTCTTTTTTTTTTTTTACCACATCAAAGATTCTCCTTCTAGGTATGGCTGGCATTTGTCTCTCTCCCAATCCCATAGCACCTTCCTACAGAATCAAAGCCTCTTTTCAACTTTACAATCCCTGACAGGGGAGGATGACCCTGTGAGCGAGGTAAGCACAGGCTTACTTGTGCTTACTTCCCAATCTGTAGTGAACAATTTCACGTTTTTCATCACAAAAGGTGTGAAATTGTTCACTACAGATTAGGAAGTAAGCACAAGTAAGCCTGTGTTTACCTTGCTTATTGGGTCATCCTGCATGTAAGTATGAGAGAAGGTGACTAAGTTCTTCTTGGCTATTTTCATAATCGAGTCCAGGTATCATCATTACAGCTCAGAATCCCTAGCAAGCTGGATCACCCCTGCCCAAGTACCACTTCTCCACTCCTCCCTCTCTGGCACCCTGTCCTCACCCAGAGCCAGACGAGGCGCCACCCCTCTCTGCTGTGACAGGGCCTGCACTGACCCCCACTGTAACTCTGACCACACAATACAACAAAGGCTTGGCTCTTAGACTTACTGGTCTGACAGAGACTGAAGAAACCCCGGGAGTATGGCTCCCAGACACCCTTTTAGCTCAGTAATGAAGTCACTTCGAGGTTCACCATTCAGCCAGGGATTGGACAGCCCCATAGAACAAAACGGGACTAACTAGGCACAACAGTCCAGAGACAAGGACTGGAAGGCAGGAGGGGACAGGAAAGCTGGTAGTAGGGAACCCAAGGTTGAGAAGGGACAGGATTGACGTGTTGTGGGGTTGTTAACCATTGTCATAAAACAATACGTGTACTGACTATTCAATGAGAAACTATTTGTTCTGTAAACCTTCATCTAAAGCACGATAATAATAATAAAAAAAGTTTGGGTCTTGAAGCTCTCCAGGGTTGAGGGACATGCCTTATTCATCTCTAGCTTCCCAAGACCCAGCCCAGAGCAGCTTTTTCAGTCAAGATTTGTTGAATAAATGAAGTCACCAAAGCAGCCAATTTCAGGATAGTTAAAATGGCCCACGACTGGCATACTCCATATGCCAGGCCTCAGGCAGGCTCCTGAGGACATGGGGCCCAGCAGACATGGCCTTGGTCCTCAAGTCGCCCACAGTCTAAGACAGCGGCTTGATCAGACTGTCTAAGGAAATGAGCTCGTCTCCAGCACGTGGCCTCTTAGCTGCTAGTGGGTTTTCAGCCAAGAAAATATTTTGGAAATGCCTGGACGAGTTTTGCAGTATTTTTGCACTGATTCACTCAATCCTACGCAGACGCCTCGGTGAGCACAGGGGACCCTCATGCTAGTGTCCCAGCCCGCTTGCGGGCCGTCTCCCTCAGCTCTGACACAGATGGGGCCTTCTCCTCCTTCCCGGTGTTAACTCAGAGTCCCAGCCCTTGGGTTGGCACAGGGACAGGCGGCCATCCCCACGAACGCCTGGCACCTGATCAAAAGCACCTGGCTGTTGAAGCTGAGACTCTTTTCTTCCCTGAGAAGCTAGGATTTGGAAAATCTCTGGGGACAGCTGACAGTTTCCAGCCTCCCCTTCCACAGCTGGACTTTGAGTGCCTGGGGTTAGGGCCCTCATGGCATCGCTGTCTCTCCTGCCCCACACATTCTCCCCAGAAGGTCCCATCGGTCCCTGGGCCTCGGTCATCTCTATTCCTATCCCACACTGCCGCCCTGTTAGTTCCCTATCCATCTACCCAGTTGCCTCCTGGACAACCCCACATGCCCTTCAAACTCAACACGGACATCATTGCCCCTCACGATCCTGCCCCCTTTTCCATATTCCACTCGTCAGAGGCAACAGACCCTTGACTGTTCTTGCAAAACTTCAGAGTCTATCCTGGGTTCCCCTGCCCTTCCCCCACCTCTTGTCAGGCACCTCCCATTTCTCAGGCCTCAGGGGTTTGGCCTTCCCTCTCCCAGCTCCCCAGCTGCCCCAAGGTGAGCCCTGAGGCCTTTTTCCATTCTGGGTTTCCTGCCCACTCTGCAGGGAGCCTGAGGAGGTTGTGGAACATGCCAGGGTTCTCACCTCTCTCCCTGCCATGTGCTCCCCAAACCCTTCTATGATGGACCTGCTCCCCTCTGTGATCCCTGAGACACGAGCTCCCCCACCTCCTCCTTCCATTGGCCCCTGACCCTTTCTTTCAGGAAGCCCCCAGACTGAGTACAGACACCGAACGTGAAGCAATGTTGTGTGACCCTGCATCCACCCCGTTGCTCCTCCAACAGGCAATCAGCATTTGGAGGGTTGGCCATTTCCCTGGGCCCATGCCCCCTACAAGAGCCCAGCTTCCTCCTCGTCCCCCCTCTAGTCCAACTGGCCTCCCCCAAGCTCCTCCTCATACCATCCTCTCCCTCCAAGCAGAGCTGTTTCTCCTTCAGTTAGTGGGATCACAGGATTTGGAGTCAGACTGAGTTCAGATTCTTAGTTTGAGTTCCCCCAGAAGTAGACCCTGAGAGAAGAACTCAAGTGTAGGTGACACATCGAGCGACAAGCGAGGTGAGGAGAGGGAAAGTGACACTGGGAGGGAGCCCTCGCAGGGAAACTGCAAAACACAGCGATCCCAATCAAGGGGTGAGGGAGCTGGGGTATCTACACGCCAATGTCTATGGCACCCCTGCCTTCTGTGAGTGGTGTTGGGGGAAAACCCCAGGTCCCAGAATGCAGATGCTGGCAGCTGAAAATCACCTGAGCTTCCTAAAAGCTCTGAGATATCCAGGCTGGGACCTGACAGCATCTACTGTAACTGCTCTGGCACTGACTAGCTAAGCTGTGTGACCTTGGGCAAGTTACTCCACCTCTCTGAGCCTAATTTCCTCATCTGCAAAACGTCGGCAGTGATCCCAGCCACAGGAACTTAGGGTCAGAGAAGATATGAGATCAGAAATGAAAAGCCCTTAGCACAGGGTGGGTGGGCAGGGAAACGCATGGTGGACATTCAGCAGGCTCAGCTGAGCTCTGAACATTGTCACCTCACCCTTACATTGGCTCTTGCCTTTCTATCTCGAGCGAGGCCCTTTCTCTCCTTTTACCTCCCCTTTGCATTCTGGTCCAGACATTTGTTTTCCTAGTGGGTGCCCTAGATTCTGTCTTATGGTCTCCCTACAGGGAGGCATATGAAGTCAATGCATTCTAAGCTGCCAGAAGCATCCATGGCACAAATAAATCTTGTCCATTGTCACCTCCCTGACTTGGCGAATTCTACCCCAGGAGATGTTCTCCTGTCAGACCTACAACTAACCCTGGCCTGGACTTGAGCTGTGGCTTCTCTTCCTGCCTGCCTTTAATGCACTCTCTCTTCCCTCATCCTTTCTCAGCATCCCAAATCCCGTCGTGAAGGCTCTGGCTGCTGCAGACAAAGCACTTGTAGGTTGAAACACCAGCCTCAGTTTTCCCATCTTTAGTGTGTGTCTGTGGGAGAATGCAGGGGTAGGGGAACGCTGGCCTGGCCCATCTCCAGGGGTTCTTTCTCCTCAGGCAGCCCACGAGTCTGTAGACCAGGCTCCTGCGGATGAGGCCACTTACGGGTGGGGTATCTCTCAGGGCGGCAATCTAAGCGGAAGTCCTCCTCCTCGTTCCCATCTCCCTTCTCGATCCTGTAAAGAAGGAAACATCTGTGTGAGAAACAGTGGGCTGAGCTGGCACAGACCCAGGACTTCAAGTGTAGTCCCTCCCCTTTGGAGGACAGTTTGCAAAGCAACTTTCTATCCACCGCCCATGGGATCTTTACCACAATCCTGTGAGAGGTCATCATTGTTCCATTTTATTGGTGAAGAAACTGAGGCCTCGGGAGGTGATGTGACCAACCTGATGTCACACAGCTAATAAGTAAGAGGCAGAAGGGGAATGTAAACTCATGTATTCTCACAAAAAGATCTTCAGTTATGTGCAAATGGTATGTTACTAAAGAATGTGTGCAGCTTGATCCCATTTCTGTTTTGAAAATTATATACTGATAGGGACAAAATTATTTGGCAGGATATGGACCAAAAGGTTAACGGTGATTATCCCTAGATAATGAGAATATAGGGGATTAAATCTGAAGCTTTTTTTTTTTGCTTAACTCTATTTTTTTTATTTTGTTGGCAATGGACTTGTTTTTCATTTTATTTTGTTGTTGTTGAGAATATACTCAGCAAAACATACACCAGTTCAACAGCTTCTCCATGTACAATTCAGTGACATTGATTACATTCTTCGAGTTGTGCAACCATTCTCACCCTCCTTCTCTGAGTTGTTCCTCCTCAATTAATATAAATTCACTAAGGTGCCTATTTAATCTTTTGAGTTGCTGTTGTCACTTTGATCCCACACAGATAGTTCTTGAAAGAGCATAATGCTCAAGTCAGACCTTTTTTTACTGGTTAAGTTAAACTATTGTTTGGTTTTAAGAAGACTTCAGGAGATACTTTTGGTTTAAGGTTTAAAGATTATCTCAAGGCAATAGTTTAAGGGGTTCATCCAACGTTCACGACTCCAGGAAGTCTGGAGTCCGTGAGAATTTGAAATTCTGTTCTGCATTTTCCCCTTTCTGGTCAGCAGTTCTTCTATAGAATCTTTGATCAAAATGTTCAGTAATGGCAGCCAGGGCACCTTCCAGTTCTTCTGGTCTCATGCAAAGGAAGCAATTGTTCAGAAAGGCAATTAGCTACTTATTCCATACCCGCCCCATATTCCTGACTCTCCTTCTTCCTCTGTTGCTCTAGGAGAATAGAGATCAATTGTTGTACCTCGGATGGCTGCTTGCAAGCTTTTAAGACCCCAGGCACTACACAATGAACTAGGAGGTAGAACAGAAGGCCAATTAACTGGATATCCCATGAAACCATGACCCTAAACCTCCAAACCAAGGAACCAAATCCCATGAAGTTTTTGGTTGTACATAAGAAGCCTCAGCAGCTACTCTTTTTTTTTTTTTTTTTTTGCCATTGTTGTAAATATATCTATGGCAATGGACTTTTATTAGCTGTATAATGTTTTTCAATTAAATTTAAACACTTTCTAAAGATAATTCTACATATTAACAAAACTCCTTGTCTTCTGACTTCTGGCACAGTGATCTTTTCCACCAAAACCGGAAGTTTCTCAAACATGGTTTCCCTCTCTACCATCTTGAGACTACCAGTTCCAGAGGAAGCTGCCTGTATTGCCATGGCAGGGGATGATGAACATGGATTGGAGGCTCAGAATATCACTCTTGGTCAAGGACACATTGTGTGGAGGCAGCTGCATACTCCCTGACACAGTTCTAGACCTAGACCCTCACTCCCATTCCACCAAAGAGTGGGCCAGAGAGTGGGTGGGACCATATTCACTCATTTCACTCATTCATTTGTAACCCAGATAAATTCCAGAGCTCCACGTGGCCCAGCCCAAATGGATACCCCATTTACAGAAACACAGTCTAGTCCCCTGAAGTAAAAATAATTCCAATCATTATTGCATCTCTTAAAGAATACCGAAAGTCCTTCAATTCACAATCTCCAGCCACACTTCTCAACATTCTTCTCCATTCCTCTCTTTGTTTTCGCATGCCTTCAGCCGTCCTGAAATCTTTCTGGCTCCACGTCTCACTGTCAGTGTTTCCTCCAAACTCTCTCCAGTGCCTTCAACATGGTGTCTTCCTTTTTCTCCACCCTCCCTTTCTTCCCACCGCTTATCCTCTTTTCTCTCATGCAAGTTAAGCCTCAATGCCTTTCAAAAAAAAAAATGCCCCATACCTGTCTTTCCGATTCCTCCCATCACCTCTTATTCCTAATTGCATAAAGATGTCCAGAAGCTTGGGGCTGGGTGGGAGGCAGGGGGGATTTGGTAAATGACAAGGAAGCAATGCTAGAAGTGTCCTTAGCAGAAGGGAGAGAAATACTCATACATTGATAGTTTTGGTCCCCTGAGATCATTCATTTGTTCATTCATTCGTTTATTCAACAGGAACTTCTTGAGGACCTACTCTGTGTAGTATGCACCGATTTAGGAAATAATACTGGAATCATTATTCCCTGTCCTTGAGCATAGAGAAAGTGACCCAGCTGGAGCTGGGCTCACAAGGACTCACAACGACACATCAACTGGGCCCTGAGATATAAAGACAATAGCTAGGATAATCTTGGAAATTATCTTTTAGGGAAGAAAATATCTTTTAGGGAACCTTTCATATAAGCCAATCAAACAGAACACAAAAGACTTTCCACTCTTATGTTTTTCTTTTAGCATTTAGTGAATAGAAAATTTGGTGGACCAATGAAGACCCTCCTGACTGTCGTTACTGAAACCTGTACCAATGATTGTTAAGAAAGGCAATTCAAAAGGTAGGATCACAGTTCCTGGCCAATTTGTGAAGCTTTTCAATGGTTTTGCCCATTTGTAATTTTAATATATACTGACGGTTCTGTAACGTTCCTTGGTCTTGGGCAGACATGGCTGTGGCAGCATGCTTGTCCGTTTTCCCATTCTTGCCTATTTGTAATTTCCTTGGATTTGGATAAAATTTTCTTTTTGCTTTACTAAACTTCGTGATGTTTTTCCCTACAACAGCACTAGATACTGTGCAGAGAACAGAAATGTCTATTTCACAGTCTGCCCTCAGAGAGCCTCCAGTCTAGCAGGAAAGACAAGCTTGCACGTGAGTTGGAAAGTGACAGGAGTTGAAGAACACCACACAAGGATTGCTCAAGCTGTCTGAACCAAAGCACTAAGCTTGTGCTTCCCAGAAAACAGATTCTGAGCACAGTTTCTGTTTACAAAGATCTCCCATGGCAGAACAAAGGATCGCGTGCTGATGCTACAGGAAGGCAGATTGTAGCTCAACACAAGGGAGGATGCCATCGTCATCGTCTTCTCTGTTAATGGAAATGTCTTTGTTATTTTCCTGATAACACAGGTTTGTTGCAAGAAAAAGAAAAACCAAACCCCATAGAGAGAGTGAACAGCACCTTATAATCACACCTCCGGGTAGCAGGAGGTATAAGTAGTTCGGTGTTTATCTTTTTAGAATTAATACATTTTTTTTTGCATAAATTGCCTCAAATTAAGCACACTTTTATAACCTTATTTATTTTTTTACTTACCCACAAATTTCCAACATCCTTCCATATCAGCACACGTAGAACTCATCTTTTTTCTCATAGTTGTATGAGAAAGAATAATTGATAGACATTTAGTTGTTCCCCAATGTTTCCATTCTTCCAAACAATGTTATGAGGAACATCTTTGCATGTACATCTAACAAGGTGGTGAGTTCCGCATCACCAGAGGTGCTCAAGCAGAGGCTGGAGTATCACCAGTCATGGAGCTGTAACTGGATTCAGGCATTGGATGGGAGGCTGGATCAGATAACTGAGCCCCATCCTCATCCTGGAGCACCAGCTGCCTGGCCAGATCCAGCATCTTTGGGTCAATAGATTCCACCTCACCATGCAGCCTCCCACAGCCTCCTGCACTTCACAGCCTTAACCTTGAACCAATTCCCTGATCCACGCCAGGAGCCCAACTCTCATGGCTTCCTTCTTGAGATCCATCTTCCTCTGGACCTCATGCTGGGCACCTCTTTGAACTCTCCTGGGACCCTCAGCCCTGGGAAGAGGGCCCCATGAGCCAAGGGGCTATCATTTAAGGAGAAAGCCAGCCCAGCCTGGCATGGCCCCTCTCCTCCCCTCTCCAGTCACCTGACACTTGCTGAGAAGCCCCCAGTTCAATAGGTAGCATATCCAGTAACACCTGCCACTTAATGAGTGGCTACTCTGGGCCAGGTCTTGTGCTGGATTTGGGGGCCACAGCGATGACTCAGATGACCTTGAGATGCTCATATTTGTTTTACACAAAGACAAATAATCACAGCTTAGCATGCTAAATTGCAACCGAGACTGATGTTAAGAAAGCTGGCAGGCAGAATAGAGTTGGCAACATTTTCTGTCCAAGTCCAGGGGGTAAATATTTGAGGCTTTGCAGGCCACAACTACTCAACTCTGTCCCTGTAGCAAAAGTAGCCAAAGACACAACGGAAACAAATGGGTGTGGCTGTGTTTCAGTAGAACTTTATTTACAACGGAGTCCCTGGGTGGTGCAAACGGTAATCAAAAGGTTCGAGGTTCGAGTCCTCCCAGAGATGCCCTCGAAGAAAGGCCTGGTGATATATTTCCAAAAAGTCAGCCATTGAAAACCCCATGGAGCACAGTTCTACTCTGACACACACGCAGTTGCCGTGAGTCTAAGTCAACTTGATGGCAACTGGTGGTTTATTTACACCAACAGATGGTGGGCTGGATTTGGCCCTGTTTTTGCCCAGTGCTTCGCAACCTTGGCTACACATTGAAATTACTGGGAGAATTTAAAAAAAATAATAATAATAATAATCCAGGTGATTCTAATGTGCAGCCAGGGTGGAGGACCACTTGTAGGGAGGCCAGCAGAGGCGTCACAGAGGAAGCGCATCTGAGCTGTGTCTTGACAGGCTCACTTCTCCTAGAGGATGTTGAGATCCAAACCTGGATCTGTCTGTCTTTCTACCTGCTTTGCTGGATGGCCTTTCTGGAAAGAGCTGGTTTCCTTGAGGGGAATGCAGTCCTCTCTACCATATTCACCAGTGAAGATAACAGGC